CCGCTATCCTGACCCGTGTATCCCTTGTGCACAATCACTCACTGAAACCAAAAAAATAGCTTTAGTCAAAAAGAAGGCACATATAATTGATGCAATTTCATTGCATGACAGCTTGGAGTAAACTTTTAGCACCTTTCAGTATAGAGTCGACGGCCACACACATAATATACACATACATTTTTGTCCTACAACTGCGTAAAAGCCTCGCAAATTACCAAGCTGAAGGAAAGCGTGCGTACATAGGGGAGAGAAAGCATGCAAGGAAAATAGATAGGTGGGAGGGTAACAAAGTCAAAGCTGATCACTGACTTGGGATCAATTGTTTGTAGCGTGTAGCAATTTCGGTGAGAGTTTCATATACGTTGATGATCGGTACAGTGATAAGATATAGCTACATGATGGCGAAATGGTCGGACAGGCGAAGCAGTTCCTCGATCACGTTAAGCATGACTTAATGTCTTCATCGGCTATTCCGATAATCGACTTCAATTCGCATATCTCAGCGGCTGGTGCAGTTGTCAAACCCATCTCGCTACATCCTCACCGGATATCGCCTCTCAGTATCAACAGATCCATTGCGATCGAGACAACTTTCGAAACTTTTGCCCTTCTTTTTTCTGTAGGTCGGACTACATACCTCAGCTCATTTTTCTTCGACATCGGCAAGTTCACGCAACTCCACTTCAGGCATTTTACAAACACAGTGGCGAGAAATTCACCGATTCTACTGTTTATAGCGTTTCAATTGTCGCACTAATCTACATTATTTCAATCGAATTACTAGCTGCGTGCGACATATGTGTGATGCACAGGCGCAGTCATACCTACACATATTACGTGCAGTGTCTGAAAGGTGGTGAGTGTCACGCGGACTCGGAAGCACTATTTGTGGCGGAGGAATTGGTTGTGTTTTCCCAGATACCTTAAACATTACCTTAAAACATTAAATCACAAATTTCTGAAATGAAAGCAATGCTGGAACAACATCAGCTGCAAATCAGTGAGAACTCTCGTCGTATAGAACAAATGAAAAAATTCAGCCGCTCATTGAATGTTCGTCTTTTTGGATACGATTTTTCAAGATGCATAGTCACCGTGACTTTGGATAATGGAACAACCGTGGATCGTGTGGATAAACCCTACGATCTCTTCATCATACTTGTTGTTGATGGCATGAATCGCACGATCGAAGAGGCTCGTAGTTTGGCACTACAATCAATACATTGGACAGGTCGTCTGAATAATAAATGTGTCCTGTTTCATTCTTGCGTGCAGAAGACAAAATGAAATTTGACCTGTGGAAACGCAAGTTAGCCAAAGATTTTAAACCCCATGGTCGAAACATTAGCATTCGTAATGATCTGACGAAACCGCAATATGAAATTTCTCAACGGGCTAGAACGATAGCTAATTTGCTTCGCTCTAAAGGTTTTGACGTTATTTCGTCTGATCTTCGTATTGGAGTGAGTGTACCACCAAGTGGTATAACCTAGATGACCCAGGATTACGTGAAATAATGGCAACAGCTGAAAAAATTTGAGTTATACTTTTGTCATTCTTCCAAATTAAAATTTCGCATGCCAACTTTCGTATCTTTTTTAGGATCCAATACTGATTATTGCCAATTTCTGATACTGTTTCTGATACTTTTTGAACACTTTACCTTTAAATCAGTTGCGAAAAATTTGATGTTATTTAAAGTGTTCTTTTCTCAGCTTATACACAGAATGTAATTGTTTGCATATTTTTGTAGTTTCTTATCATATAAAAATTACTGTTTGCTACATTTTCCATTTGAATAAATTTCTTTTCTATTTACGGTATCAACACTTCATCAAGAACCATTAATCTTCTTACCACCCGATATTTTCTTATGCAGTATGGGTTTCTGAGAAAAGCCCAACCTACAGTCAGATTTTTTGCTGTGTTTTGTATTACTTTATTTCATTATCGTAAACTCCATTATGGGATTTATACTACTTCAGCAGTTACTGTCTCGGGTACACCTTTCCCCTTTTCCCCTCTCCTTTCTAGGAATCACTAGCAAATTGCGCATACTCGCATACTTACATTATTAATATTACACATCTATCTCAGGATGGGATCAGGGTAGATGGGCTGCCACCTGCGTCTACTCTGGTCCACCCGGCTACAGGTGGCAGCTTTGTAAATCGTCACTCTTATCGAGTGGTAATGGATACAGATTTTAAACATTTAATAACTAATGCTACTACAGTTTCAACATTAGCAACAACACTTTGTGGAGTTGGCTGCTCATGCTGTAACGCAATTAATGGGATAGGTTATGGCTACTCTTCCGTTTCAGGCAGGGCTTTTAATGTTATACATCACAATCCTGGTGATAGATTGCATTTTAAAACTACTAACCTGGTTTATTGTATTACGTGTGCCAGGTGTAGCATACAGTACATAGGTCAAACTAAACGATCGCTACAGGTTAAATTTAGCGAACATAAATACAACATTGAAAAACGGGTTAATACTACTTTACTTTATTCTCACTTTCATACTAATGGACACACAGTAAAGGGCCTACGCGTACACATTCTACAAACTGTTGGTAACGCTAAATTTCTTATTGAAGCGGAACATTTTTGGACACGCGCATTACAAACAATATATCCCTTAGGTTTAAACGATAATATAAAAGGATATGATATGGTATCACAGATACAATCTACTAATTTTAAATACATACCATACTTCAGTTTGCGTTTACCGCGATCTAATGGAGGACATGGCAGGAGAAGACAAGTCTCTAAAACTATCAATTATAACTTCATTAATGACTTTAGTACTAATATTCGAAGTGATTATTTATGGTTTGAAAATTTCTTTTTATGTTTACAAAATCAGAGTAAAAGAACCTTAGCAACATTTCTTAATATTTTAG